TTTAAATATGCCACTTTCACAACTAAATCTGGTGATTGAGGATGTTGCCAGTAACTGAGAACAGCCTCTCACTTTGAATATGCGTAGGTAGGCATGTCAGAATCTCTCACTCAACTAACCTAAAACTTGGCCATACCTGACTTTTTTGTTCTGAATAAGAATGAAGCTCTGTAGTAGAAGCCAAAATAGGGTCTGAAAGGCATGCTTTTATTTCAAAGGTGGTAATCTGAGATGGTGAGGCATCACTGGTTCCCACCAGAGTGATAAAGACCTTGACCCAAATGGCTGCAGCACCACTCTGTCTGCCTCTGCCTGTAACACCACAAATGCAGACCCACGGAGGAGGATCTCTGTTGCACAGAGGTGCTGCCACTGCTACAAGGAGTTTCACTAGTTGTCTATCCCATTGCCTACTCCTGCTCTTCTTTCCTTACCATACCCCTCTTTCTTGGCATCTCATGAACTTTATAAACTAGTCTGTCTTTCCAAATAGAGAGAGTTATTACATGATAGATACAGCAAGCCCAGGCGAACGTTTCAACCTTCTTGGGGCCTTATCAGTGAGGTGTAGCTGATACCCCTCTAGTTACAGTGAACACGGGGTCCACGCAGGGACAGGTTAAAATAGGGGCTGATGGAGCTGCAGCTTCAGGACCATGCCCATGGAATAGGCCAATTGCTAAAAAAATAAAACTAAATTAACTACTCTTCAAATGTGGATGTAGGAAAAAAAAAAAAAAAAACTAGTGTGCACTGGTTGACAATGAAATTAGTAAATGTAAAGCTAACTTTGCACACTATGCAAATGCTCTTGCTGCTTCAGTCTCTCTAACGCTGTGGCATGTTTCTTTTCTTCTACACTCAATACATACACCCTTTCTATGTCCCAGACTGTATAACAGGAGCTTCTGTCTGCTAGTAAGAAGGTAAGGTGAGGAGTGGACAAGTGAGTGCTAGGGGACAGTTCTTAGAAAGCGTGGAGTGAGCTCATCATCACACGTATTTATGCCAAGCTCGGGGTGCTGTCTGCATGGTATGCCATTAGTTGGCCAGTGTCAGGATTACAAGTTGATCCAGCATGCAGCACTGTGTCACACTTAGGACTAAGGACAAGGTATAACCAGACCTTAGAGTGGCTGGACTTAACGTCTCCAAGAATAGTCAAAATACTTGCTGAGGTCAGGAACACAGAATCAGACACAAAGAAGAGGGAAAGCAAAAAGTTAAGGATGCCAGATATCAGGGAAGTCAAAACAAAGTCAAATACCAGAAAGTCAAGATTAGGAACGCACTCTCTGATAACCATAGGCAAGAAACCACGAAAGGGCAATGAGCAAGAGGAGAATTTGGTTTAAATACCCCTCCTGTGGATTTGATTAAACATAACCATCCTTTGACCCCAAAAGTAATTACCAGGTTTCCATGTGCATGATTGCTGCTCGGCACAACTTTTCCTGTTAGGACAGTAAATGCCATTAACCACATTTTTTGTGTGCGGATGATTACGTGACATTACCCCCCACCTGAAGACCGCCAAACAGACAGGCAGGACCAGGTTTGAGAGAAAACATGGCGTGAAAAGAAGAAATTTTACGGCCAGCATGGATGTCAGGAGCCGAAACCCAAGAACGTTCAGCAGGCCCATACCCCCACCAATCAACCAAATAGTGTAAGGAACCACAAGAAAACATGGAATCAATGAACAATGGAATCGTACTCCTCCTGTCCAGAAACAACCAAAGGAGGAGGGGGAACAATCGGACTTGTGTACCGATTGCAAACAAGCGGTTTGAACAAGGACTTCATGAAAAGTATTAGGTATACGTAAGGGAACTGGAAGGGCCAGAGAATAATAAACAGGGTTGATTCTCTTAACCACATGAAAAGGAACCTCGGAGCAAACTTCAGAGCAAACTTCATGCTGATAACCTTCAACCTGATGTTGCGTAACCAAACCCAATCACCCACCTGGTAAACTGGATTGGCACCCCGCCGTTTATCCGCATGAAACTTAAAGCGAGCTTAGTCCAGGTATCACGAATAGAGGTAAAGTGATCATCCAGAGTAGGGATAGCCGTATCAGAAAACACAGCAGGGAGAACAGCAGGATGATGACCCATATTGACAAAAAACGGACTATGCCCAGATGAGTCATCGGTAGTGTTATTTCTTGCAAATTTGGCCCAGGGCAATAATTCAGCCCAGTTAAACTGTGTACTATTCACAAATAGAGTTGAGCGGACACCTGGATGCTCGGGTCCGGCGGGTTTGGCCGAACTTTGGAAAAAAGTCTGGGTTTGGGATCGAATTTGACCCCGAACCTGAACCCCATTGAAGTCAATGGGGACCCGAATTTTTGGGCACAAAAATGGCTCTAAAAAAGTCCTGGAAAGGGCTAGAGGGCTGCAAAATGAAGTAAAATTGGGGTAAGAGTAGGACAAGTGCCCTGCAAACAAATGTGGATAGGGAAATCACTTAAAATAAAATAAAATGCCTAAAAGTAAAAAATACAGCTGAGCCATAAAATAGCACTAGATGGAATCCTTGATTTTAGCTTTGGAAGAACATAAATCAAAATCTAAAGCATGGCTATAAGGAGGATCACTAGAATTATCCATTTGAGAGAGGGTTGGAGTGCAGGGTATTCTCTTTCATTGTTCAAACTGAGCAAAAATCCTGATGCATGGAGAAAAGGCCTTCACAAGCCTCTGCTATTGTGTACATAGCTTATACGAAGTGACCCATAGGTTGAGGAGGTGGTGACCGTGGCGGTGTAGGTGGAGGCGGCAGTGGAGGAGGAGAAAGTAGCCAACACTGTTTTTTATTTGTTTTTTTTGTTTTTTTAATTGGGGTAGCCCCAAAATATTGGGACATATAAAAAAAAGAAACATTTGCGGTCTGCAGTGCATTTCTTGCAGTCCAATAACACCATCAGGTTTTTAAAACTGTCCGTCTCTACGGAATGACAGCATTTCAAAGTCCTGGAATTTTGAAATGCTGGCATTCAGGGCCAGGGATCGCGGGTGGGTAGGGGGGTACTTCCTCTTTCTCTCCAGTGTTTGGGAGATGGACACCTGAACACTTCCATGGGACAGTGTGGAAATGCTGGACAATTGTGTACCTGGCCTATGCTGGTGCAGGAACCCACCCTCCGAGCCACTTGTGAATGACTGGCCTGATAACCATGGAAATGACCCCTCTTCCTCTTCCTCCTGTGCCACATCCTCTTCCATCATCGCCCAAAGCCTTTTTTCAAGGAGACATAGAAGCGGGATAGTAAGGCTGAGAACGGCGTCAGCGGCACTGGCCATGTTGGTGGAGTCCTCGAAACAGCGCAACATGGCACACAGGTCTTGGAGGCCCACTCATTGGTGGTGAAGTGGTGCTGTTCCACAGAGCGACTGACCCGTGCGTGCTGCAGCTGAAACTCCCATATCGCCAGAGTCTCTCCAGCATGTGCAAGGTGGAGTTCCACCTTGTGGGCACGTCTCATATGAGGTGGTGAGCGGGAAGGCCGAAGTTATGCTGCAGCACAGACAGGCGAGCAGCAGCAGGGTGAGAATGCTAAAAGCATGCACAGATGGCCCACACTTTCTGCAGCAGCTCTGATATATCTGGGTATACACCATGGCGGTGTAGGTGGATGCGGTGGAGGTGGAGGAGGAGGAGGTAGCCAACACATTTTTTTTTTTTTTAATTGGGGTAGCCCCCAAAATATTGGGACATATAAAAAAAGAAAAAAAAAAGAATAAGTGCACTTGAGCATAACAATGGCTGTGTGAAGCCATGTCATGTGGTAACACTTCCGGGTTCGGCACTCTGCTGTGCGGAGCCAGACCCCACCCCCCTCTGACGCAGCTCTGATGGTATTTAGGTAGACCCCGCCAGAGAGAGGGGGCTTGGTGATACTGGGAGCTACTTCCACCAGACTTGCCTCTCCACAGGCTCTAGCAATGTGGGTCCTACTTCCGAGTATGCACGCCGGCTCCTGGGACACGCCGACTCTACAAGCTCTGAAGTCGTCCTAGCCTTCTGGGCTAAGACAAGTATGCTTCATGCCATAGAGGATTACTGGAGAACAGAAACTCACTTACTTTACAAGTGGACCATATCTCTGAACTATTGGAGGACTACTCACATTAACCTTAAAGGACCACTATAGTGCCAGGAAAACATACTCGTTTTCCTGGCACTATAGTGCCCTGAGGGTGCCCCCACCCTCAGGGTCCCCCTCCCGCCCGGCTCTGGAAAGGGGAAAGGGGTTAAAACTTACCTTTTTCCAGCACTGGGCGGAGAGCTCTCCTCCTTCGTTCCTCCTCCTGGGCTGAATGCGCACGCGCGGCAAGAGCTGCGCGCGCATTCAGCCCGTCGCATAGGAAAGCATTTACAATGCTTTCCTATGGACGCTTGCGTGCTCTCACTGTGAAAATCACAGTGAGAAGCACGCAAGCGCCTCTAGTGGCTGTCAAGAGACAGCCACTAGAGGATTAGGGGGAAGGCTTAACCCATTCATAAACATAGCAGTTTCTCTGAAACTGCTATGTTTATAAAAAAAAATGGGTTAACCCTATAAGGACCTGGCACCCAGACCACTTCATTAAGCTGAAGTGGTCTGGGTGCCTAGAGTGGTCCTTTAAGTATATCTTTCAGCTATTTGTTTACAATATCATTTAATAATGAACTAATGCTTGCTTACTCAAATCTTCACTGCTTCAAGCTACTAATTATATGGAGGACAACTCCCATTATGCTTATTCACAATGAACTGTTTCTTGCTTTACAAAGACACTCAGTGCTTCAAGCTACTAATTATATGGAGGACAACTCCCATCATGCTTATTAACTATGAACTGTTCCTGCTTTGCAAATATACTCAGCTACTTGCTTAAAGTTACTATTGAAGATTATTCTCATTAACCTAAGGAATGTTACTTAATGCATCTCTGAGGAAATACTTATTAATGAACTTTGTGTTGTTGATTACTTGCACTTCTTCTTATTGGATTATTGCCTAAATGCAATTCATTTAAGTTTAACACTTATTAAAACTTTGTTTGAATCAAGTTACCAGCAATTCTCTCTTTTCTGAAAGCTACAGTATTGATACTTTAAAGATTCTCAGTTTCTTCACTTTTGTAATTAGGGAGTTTTACAAGCTGCAGTTGAGTTCCAATCCAAATCACCCAAGTAGCGTAACAAGCCGGTATAAAAGTCTATTTTGCACAAGGTACAGACAAGTCTCGTGGGATCCGTGTCTGTTTCATTTTAATAAATCTGAGCTTGTCCATGTTGGCCGTGGACAGGCGGCTGCACTGGTCTCTGATAACCTCGTGCCGATCGCACGTCCCTGTGACGGTGACGGATGTCTGCGCTATCAACTTTCAAAGCAATTTTCCGCACCTACCATGGTGACCACGTATAACAGGGAATCAGGGTTCGACTCCAGAGGGGGAGCCTGAGAAACGGCTACCACATGCAAGGAAGGCAGCAGGCGCGCAAATTACCCACTCCTGACGCGGAGAGGTAGTGACGACAAATAACAATACACTACTCTTTTGAGGCCCTGTAATTGTAATGAGTCCACTTTAAATCCTTTAACTTGGATCAATTGGAGGGCAAGTCTGGTGCAGAGCGACTGACCCGTGCCTGCTGCTGCTCGCTGAAGCTGCATCAGGGTACTGGTGTCACGTATTTATCCGCTTATAAAAATGTGGTTAATGGCATTTAATTAAGGGTTAATTCTGAGCAGCAATTGTGCAAATGGGAACCTGGTAGCTGCCTTTAGGGTCAAAGGCCGGTTACAGCCTATCAGATCTAGAGGAGGGGTATTTAGGCCCAGTTCTCATCCTGTTCAGTGCCCTGTCCTGGTTTCCCTTGTGGTTGTCCGAGAGCGCGTTCCTGATTCAAGTTTCTTCTGGTTTTTGAATTTGGCTTTAATATTGACTTCACTGTATTCTGGTATCCCTGATGTCTTGCTTTCTCTTATCGTTGTGTCTCTTTCTATATCCCCTGACCTCGGCAAGTATCCTGACTATTCTTTGGTACGTTAAGTCCGGCCATTCTAAGGCCCGGTAATACGTTAACTATTAGTCATCTGTGTGACACAATTCTATGTGCTGGATCAACTAGTAATCCTGACATTATGACATGGCCATAGATCCTGTAGAACTGTGTCAGCACATAGCTGCTTGTGAGAGAAAGCTAGTGGAGAAAGATCACCGTATGGATCAGTTTGCCCAGGCTTTCAGTACGCTCCTTACTCGAACATCGCATCTGCAACCTGCGGCTTCTCCAACTGTGTCACCTCTGCCTAATGTACCTCCTGTAATACATAAGGCTATTATTTCCCTATCGCCTCCCCTGCATTTTGATGGTAATATTCAAGAATGCCGGGGATTTATTAACCAAATTGAGTATCATTTTGAGGTATCACTGGGATCTTTTCCCACTGATAGAGCTAAAATCGGTTACCTGATGAACAAACTTAAAGGTAAAGCTCAAGCTTGGGCTAATCCGTTATGGGAGAGTAGTAGGAGCATTGCACACAATTACCAGGAATTCCTTGCGGAATTTAAACTTACGTTTGAACAATTAGGCAGGGAGGAAGACGCCTCTACTGCCCTAATGCATATTCGACAAGGGAACCGGTCTATCTCAGAGTATGCCATAGAATTTCGCACCTTGGCTTCCGAGGTAGACTGGACTAACAGCGGATTAATCTCAGCATTTAAGAAGGGATTATCTGAGACTATGTTGGATGAGATTGCTACCAAAGAACTACCCAAAAAACTCAATCGGTTTACTACATTTATTATGCTAATTGATAATAGACTCAGAACCAGAAATAAAACCAGACGTATGGCTTTGCCATTAGCACCTCATTTCTCCAGACCGGTTGTTCCTGACCTCTCTATACAGTCCGAAAACGAACCAATGCAGTTGGGGGTCACTAGACTGTCCGAGGCAGAAAGACAACATTGGAGAAGAGAGGATCTATGCATATACTGTGGTGAAAAAGGACATATGAGGAGTACTTGTCCCATAAGTCCAGAAAACTACCGCACCTAAGAACCTTAAGGGGACAAGTCTTAGGTGTAATGGATACGTCCTCTGGGAATAACAATAATAGATTTCTCCTTGATATTACAATCATAGTTGACAAAAATAACTTTTCATGAAAGGCCCTGATGGACTCAGGTGCAGCAGGAAATTTCATTCAACAAATCTGTAGATGCAATTTATTATTTCTGTGGCAGGTACATAAGAGAAGATAGAGCCAAATGTTTCCATTTGGATTGACGTTGGTCTGGAACAAAGGAGGTAGTCAATTATTTCTATAGGTACGCCTTAACTCCACCCCTGGGCAAGACTTTATAATCCACAGGGTATAAATCCAATGATTTGGAGGGGTGTGGGTGTACTTGCTTGGTGCCAAGATCTAATTTTGAGTGAGTCACTATCATCCTTCCTTGCCAGAGACCCCCTAGGCAGAAGTTTCACTTTGAAAACCTAAGTGAGTAATCTGCCACAAAGCCTTTATATATATATATATATATATATACACACACACACACACACACACACACACACATATATATATATATATATGTGGGAAGGCGGAGCCTGGAGTTGTGGGCGGGGATGATCCGGCCTATATAAACAAAATTACCTCTATAACGGGCAGACATTGATAGGTCACATCTGGTTCCAGTTTCACCAGAACCACATGGTTTTTCAGCAGCCAATAAACTGTGTGGAAAATTAGGCAGGCCCTCAGATCTCGGACTACCATCCCCAGCCTCAATCGCTCGAACAATGTCGGTCTCAGCTACACTTATCTTCCGGGGGCACTTTCCCAAACTTCCGGGTTAGCTGACAGCACCCGGCAACAGTGAGTACAAGGGAGCACGCCAAACTACCGAACGGGGCATGAACAGCTACACAGGTATAACCCCACTCATACGAAAGCGCACAAACAGGAATGATTGCAGTAAAAATGATACACTACATCCTAACACACGGTAATTCTCATAGTAAACTTTGCACAGCTACCTTCACTTCGATTCAAACTCTAGGCTATGTTGCATACCAACACCGCCATCTACCGTCAAAAATTGCTAACTACAAATAAAACCTAACCTTTTTCACTACATAAGTTACAATGATCGGGGGGTGTGGCCAACTGCAGAGCAACCTGGCTGCTTAGGAAATTGCTCTGGCACCCGGGCTCTCAGAATCCGACAACATCGTCTCTCAGGGCACTAAAAAACACACCAAAACGCATGATGTCAAACCCCAAAGGGAAGAAGAACGCACAGAAAAATGAAAAAATGAAAAACTGAATTTCTTTACCCACAAAACCGCGAGCAGCTCTGAAGTTGATCGTGGCCCAAATCAAGATGGCGCCGACGACCAAACAGCGGGAAACATCACAAACACAGGCCCATCACATGAAAACCTGACCAAATCACACCTAGATGAGGCGATGAACAACATGGCTTACAAACTCATAAAAACATGGCAATCCTCCATAGGACAACTCAGCAAGGAGATCCAAGACATTGGCAGCAGAACCACACACGTGGAAAACAAACTGAGCGAATATGCTACAGCACATAACGACATGGCTGACCATGTGGCTACACTGGAACATAAAATAGCAACCATGGAAGCACGCATGGCGGATGCCGAAGATCGCTCACGGAGGAATAACCTCAGATTGAGAGGAGTCCCAGAGAGCATCTTGCCGAATAAGTTACAGGCCTATGTCCAGGGCCTCCTGCGGGCATACGCTCCGAACATACCCAAAGAGATGCTCCTAGTGGACTGGGTACACAGGGTGCCCAAGCCACGCAACCTACCTGATTCCATCCCCTGGGACGTCCTGCTGAGAGCACATTACTTTCATATAAAGGAAGCAGTGTTGCGAGCCAGTAGGAACTCCACAGAACCGCATGGGACCTACGCAAAAGTTAAGATACTGGCTGACTTATCCATGGCAACCCTCAAACGCAGAAAGGACTTTCACCCGGTGACAGAGGAGCTGCGCCGCGCTGGAATTAGATACCGCTGGGGATACCACACCAAGCTATTAATCATGAAAAATGGCGAGCTCAAAATTATCTACACACCGGACGAAGGCACCCGGACCCTGAGAGAATGGGGGCTTGCAACAGACCCCCCCCCCCTGAAACCCAGACGAGCCCAACTAAGCGACTGATACCAGAATGGCGCCAAGCCCCAGCACAAGCCAAATCCCAGTGACTTGCTCGGTGAACTCGGCTGACAAGGCCAAAACCAGGGACACGTGAGATATTCACATATACTAATATCATGTTCATAGTTCTTGTTTCAGTTCAAAACGAGGTTAATTGCTTTGATTAGCATATAATATGTTTAAATAACAATACACACGATAGGATAGATGCTGGCAGGAGGAGTACCCCTCACATATGATACTCATGGAGTACTCTGGGAAACAGAGAGGGCCCGTCTCATATGTGTACAAGTTGAAAGAGGGGACCCCAGAGAGCTAGGGGTAATCATGATGTCTATTGTAAACTGTAATAGCTGATGTTGTGCATATATGATGACTGTAACCTAAGGACGCAGATTATTATGTCAGATTATTATGCAGGGTGACTGCTTCTATGAATGAGACGCTATCTGTAAACCACATCGCACAAACACATACTGCATGATCAAGCAGGCCGAGTGTACTGCACTCATTCCCCCCCAATACACTACGGAAATCAAAGGAAGTGCACCCACAACCTAGGCCATAAGCACCGCAAAATGCATTATGTAGAACTTATCTCCATAGCAGGCACGACAAACCACGCTAATAGAAGAAGGTGAAAAGAGAATAACATATCAACAAGATAACCACTTAGACAAAGCTCAAGTTATACTCAACACCTGACAAACTTGCATTAAAATGCTGTACATGCATACCCTAAACCACCCATACTAGCCAGCAAATTAGCAACATGCACACTACTCACATACCCACTGGATCACAGCTCTGAGGAAAGATACAAATGTGTAATTATTAGAGCCCAATGGCCACACTACTCGAGACGCTGCCTAGGCGTCCATCCCCCATGGCACAATGCCAAAGTGCCAAGACCCACGTTTGGGTCAGTTTGTATATACTTTGTTTGTTACCCCTTCCTTCCCCCACCTCTCTTGAACCTCTTACTCCCGGGCACAAATATGCAGCCGTGCAGATGCCGGCAACGAGGCACATAACGCAGCCACTGTTCACACCACAACATAACAGACTCCACGGAACTACAAACGAGCACCGCTTATCACACACCTATTACATGAAAATATACTCACATAACTGTAGGGGGCTGAATACCCCCCACAAAAGACGTATGGCACTAGAGGAAGCCAAACAACATCGAGCGGACATTATATGTCTACAGGAAACCCATTTTGTTACCTCCAGAGTGCCCAACTTCGGCGCAAAACACTACCCCCACCAATACCACGCAACACATTCATCTAAATCAAGAGGGGCCTCCATCCTTCTACACTCATCCAGAACAGTGGAAACATTACACGTTATCAAAGATAAACAAGATAGATTTGTGATGTTGCAATGCCTCTTAAACAACTTACCATACACTATAGTCAGCTTTTATGCTC